AAAAAAAAAAAAAAAAAAAAAAAAAAAGTTTTTATGTTTTATTTTTTATTCTAAATTTGGTGAAGATTTTCGATGTGACCCTGAGGCAAACGTTGTTCAGTTTATTTTTCTGCATAGCACAGTTTGTTTTCGGAATTTTTGGAAGATGCCCATTTTTTTTTTTCAAGGGGATTCAACGGGATTTAACGGGGATTCAATGGGATTCAACGGGGATTCAACGGGATTCAACGGGATTCAACGGGATGATTTTTTTTTTGGTTCATGCACGTCCAGCGACGTGTCCGAGGCCCAATGCGCCCTCCCCGTTGAACAATATTCGATGGGGAGGGCCCGTTGTACTATTCAACGGGGATTCAACGGGGCCCCGGGGGCTATTCAACGGGTACAACGGCGTTGAAACTTTCCCGTTGCCCGTTGAATAGACACATAGGCTGCGGCCGCGAACGAGGCCGCAGGTTCTGCGACTGTGGGGGTCACGTAGCTGATCTGCACTTCAGTGTGACCTGCACTCAGGACCATCACCCTGCCAGTATCAACTTTATCGAGGACAACTTGAACTTGACAGCAGTGACAAGCTCCTCCTTACACTATAACCCCCACCCCCTTTTTCAAAGTTTTTGGGTGGGAAGTATCGTCCTTACCCTGCCACCAACACCCTAGTGTGACCAGCATCCAGCAATGATGACCATCACCCTGCTAGTATCAAGGGCAACTTCGAGCAGACAGCAGTGACAAGCATCCTCTAACACTGCAACCCTACCTGTATTAAGGGCAACTTCGACCAGACGCCAAAAAGATGCAGGTTTTGTGGTCTCGGTCATTATGGCTAGAACTGGCCATTTAGCCAGCAAGGCCAGTTTTTTGCCGTTTTGGGTCAAAATTCGTCAAATAAGTTGAGCATCCATGCAGTTCAACACACCCACTAGGACCCCGGACATTGTTTTCGGCACAGTTGCAGAGACCATTCCCCAGTTCCCAATAAAGTTGACAGGTTCCGACCCTTCCGGAATTACTACGGTTGAATGATGCTTCCGATAGAGAACAATATTCATTTTCTTGCTTTGGCAGTATGTATTGACTTTTTTTCTTCCTCTTTTTTTTTTTTTTTTTTTTTTTTTTTTTCTCCTCCCCCAGACAGACTTTCAACCATTAAACAAACCCCGAAAAAAAAAAAAAAAAAAAAAAAAAAAAACCGGATGGAACTCATGCTATGTTGCTCATTACCAGTCACATGTGTTTTTATCTTCATTATTTGTTTAATATTTTTTTATTTTAAAAATCCAGCTGATGTGGGCATTAGCAACTTGGCTTCAGAAATATCCATAGAAGGTTCCACGGCAGGGGATCACTCCAACATGGTTCATTCTGGTTACAAGAGATTTCAGAATTTGGAGTCTTGTGCAGTGCAAATATGAAGAACATATCTTCTCAATTTGTTTTCTTGTTATGTTGCAAATTATATTATAAAAGCATTCGAATGAGGCCGGGAATCCCTCAACATAAAAACCCGGGAGTGAAGCTTGTCTGGTAAGCGGGTCCATAACCCCGCGGTCTGCCACTCCAAGGAGAGTGAGCAATTGGATGAAAAAGGAAAATACGAAAACATAAATAAAGGGACAAAACAACCAGGAACTACTGGAGAACTCTTCGTCAAGGTCTCCTGGTCTGCCACACCAAAGACTTCGAGATCTTACACCATAAACTTCGAGATCTTACACAAAACAGAGCAGGCACCTATCTGTGAACTCAAGGAAGCATAAACCGCCTAAATGGGTTCCCCACCACACATCCTTGGATCTTCATTGGCATCAACATTCAACAAACCAATATCACCATGGATACAGTTCAAGTTTGTCTCCTCCAAGCGAGCAACGTTCCCACCACTGAAGATTCTACTTGTGGTATAGTAATTGAATGTGCACAATCCTGAACTGCGGACTTCGGTGACCTTCGTGCTCGGAACACTTCAAAAAAAAAACTATGATGAACATCTGGGACGAAGACCAAGTGACCATTAGTTGGGATGAACATTGAATAAATAAGGATAAACAAACGGAGGAGTTGGAATGGACGTCAGAGTCGTCGTCATCTACGGTGCCTGTGTTTTGTTGTACCACTGTCTGCATCACTATCATCATCCACACAACCACCCGACAAACTTGATGAGGATGCCGCTTTAAAAGTGTCACTTGACGTGCTTGATGTACTAGGCAGACGTAGATTGCTCAATGCTTCGTCCAGACTGCTATCGGAAGACAATGTGTACGACGAAACGAATGTCAATTGTGAACATGATGGTTGATCCTTGAAGGACACCTGTTTCAACTTCTTCTCGGTCGATTTTTTGTTCAGTGCAGAATGAACACCCGAATTTGCTTTCGAGGACATGTTCTCAATTGCGGCGACTGCAACCCCATGCTCATATGCCTCGACGTCTGTTTTACGTAATGTTCCACGACACAGTTCGACATTTTCTCTGCACACTTTGCCGAACCTGTCGATCAACCGTGCATTACGCGCTCTCTCCTCCTCAAGGTTTGCTGCCAGCTCGTTCATTCTTCCCTGCAGATCCTCTACTTCGTCCCGGAGCGAATCATGGCCCCCACATTTTCTGTCGCGATTTCGACACTGCGGTGCACTCGACGCGCAGACTCAGCTGAACTCCTATCATACTCTTTTCCAAATATGATGTTGCATCTATCCATTCCCCAGTCGACACAGATACACTTGCAACTAAACAGGAACAGGCTAAAACTCACTCACAGGATCAGATGTAGAGCTTTCAGTACGTAGCCCATGAAAAGAGAACAAACCACGTGCACAAGCAGAGAAATAAGGGAAAAAAAAACCATGTAAGTTAACGGTCTGTGAGTTTTCACGTCCAGCGAATGTTTTTGGCCACACGTGTTCATCATGTCTTACACACAACGCCACCGACGTGGATGACAGGTTGAGCGCTGACTGGCTCTATCCCGGTGTGTCAGAGGGACCCACTTGGAGGCAGCCAAAAGGCGAAGACGTAAAGAAAAGGAGGACAAAACAAAACATCACAGAGGGAAGAGGAAGAGAAAGAGATCAAGTCAAAGAAAGGACAACGGAAGAGGAAGAAAGGCGTATCAGTCAAACAAAACAAATGACATGTCACTCTCACAGATAAACCAATTGCCACTGTCACAACAAAGTTTAACATTTTTTTTTCTTTTCTACGGAATTGTGTTCTTTCATTCTGTTTTTCTTTTCGTTTTTTCAATTTCTTTTCTTTCTCTTCTTTCTTTCTCTCCATATCTGCACGTAGCATAGAAACAATCTCAGACTTGTCTTCTCTCGTACCCAGCATGCATCAATCACATGGCACTCACGCTGGCGACAAGCGGCCACACACAGCTCAGAGATATCCTGACGAATAATACATAGTTCTAAATCAACTTGCTTCGAATGGCTGTGGCGCCTGTGCACCTTCACAATACCCTTCCGCGTTGTGTCCTCAGCAACAGTTCACACGTGCGCTACTATGGATCTCCCTGGATGCCCCACACATGCTCACAATTCATTGCACACTCATACACAAACACGATGTAGCCTATGTCTACCCCACTGCAGCTACGACTGCTTCCACCTCCACCACTAACTAGCGGCTATGGCCGCTTCATCTCCTTCCAGCCCACTTTTTGCTCGGGCATTCACAGACCTCCTTGCACAAGTCGCTCATGCAGCACTTCCGCATGGCTCACAATCAGAATGAATGAATAACTGGATGTTGCCTCTTCATTTAAACTTTCCCTTGACCGCTGTTCTGCTCCTTTCCATCGGGACTAGGGTGCGCATAGTCCCACTATCTCCCACATGATACTTGCTGACTTGACAAGGTGCACGTAACTGGACGTGGTAAGTCCACCCACTTGCCCACTTGCCCAGTTGCCCACTTCCCCACGGACTGCTTCCCAGAATGTCGAAGGGGCAGTCCTAGAAGACTGTAGACCTTCCTACTTGCCCTTTCGGTGTTGTGGTAGCCATGACCAAGGTTGACTTTTCAAACCTACAGTAGCTATGACCCTACATAATCTACGACTCCTACCGTACAGGTAAGCAGCTCGAACCTACTCATGCGTCACATGGGATGTGCATCTGCTACTGCAAAAGTGAAAACAATTTCAAAAAGCTTTATATGTCCTATAATTAGTGTTGCTCCAGCGTCTGCAACAGATTGATAATGGTGATGTTGGACACCCTTCTGCAAAGATAGTGCCGTCTGCAATATAATTGATTGATACTGGTGATGGCATAGATGATGAATTCCACAGGCAAGACGCACCTCGTCCCTGCCCCCACAGGTGCCACGCGACAGTCGGTCAGTAATCATGAAGAACGTATTATTCGGCAACGCACCCAAAATTTCGTATAGGTTTCAAATTTTCTGAATCATCGTCTCATCACCCCACAGTTCCCCTTGGGCAGCTGCACGAATGACTGCCGTATAACTACATTGCACGGCCGGTCACGGATGGTCACGGCCGGGGGCAAAAACTCGGCCGCGGCCGTGCCCGGCGGCCGAATCGGCTAGGTTCGGCCAAGGTCGAACGGGCGAGTTTGGTGCAGGATTTTATTTTCGTGTTTTTCAGGGCAAAAAAAAAAAAAATGGGCGTGCGGGGCTGAAAAAACCCTGCACGCCCATATATATATATATATATAGATTTTCTGATGTTGCTGGTCGCCAGAAAAAAATGCTGAACGAAAAAAAAAAAAAAAAGAACCGTCGGCCATTTCGGGTGATTTTCGACCGTTTTAGCGGTCCACGACCGTATGGGCCGCAGTGCCGCCGCGGGGCAAGTCGATGGGGGGGGGGGCGGTCCAGGCCCGGGCAACAGCAAGGCTGTTGCCGTTTCGGATTAATGCAAACATTAGTCTGAAACGGCAACAGTTCGTGCTGTTGCCGTTGTACCACCCGAGCCTGCCGCACAGCAGAGAGAGAGAGAGAGAGAG